GTGGCTGCGAGGGGTGGGCTCGATGGGGTGGCCAGGGGTAAAGGTGGGTTCTCTTACTTTTGGTCCCTGGCGAGTGAATTCACATGCGTCGCGAGGGACGTCAAAGGGTCTTTTTGCGCCTTGGGGAGGATCATAATGACACGATAGGATAGGCAGGGTGGTCTCACGTGGCACCGTCGACGATGCATTTTCTCGCCACAGAGAAGCGACGTCGTGGGCGGTCCATCTGCTGCGTTAACTTCAGTCGTGCGCATCCCAACCCACATGAATGTCGTCTGCACTAGGGTGTCTCCATTACAGAAGCCCGCCGTGCCTGCTGCACATCGACCGCAACGACGCGGGAGCAGTACAAGCCTTCTCGCCGCGAATAAATGTCGCCTGCTCCCCGCGGACATCTTCAGTGTCACAGAGGACCAGCGCCGACGCCTTTGTAGCCATCTCGTCACGTGGAGGATCTTCGCTGGAGTCGTCGTCCTTCTGTCGTACACATGGACGTCCACCGGCAATCATTCCACCGCGGAGCATTCTCACCATCGCTCCTCTGTTCTTCTCGCCGTCAATCTTTTCGCCACGGAGCGCTCTCGCCGGGGCCGTCGTCCTTCTGTCGTGCACGTGTACGTCGTTATCTACTTCCCGCGGAGGAGAGATCTTCTGCGTCGTAGGGGTATTCGTCCTCGTCAGGCTGCAGCAACACGGGAGACATTTTTCTTAGTAGATCAGTGAGACTTCAAACGACGGTCGACGAAGCACTTCCCGCTCGTCCGATCTGACCGCCAAGCTCGCATGTAGAGGTCCCGACGAAGCATGTCTACGCGAGGGAGCGCCCGTGGTAAGAAGCGCGACGACGTCCCTGACGAGAGCCAAGGGCAGGGAAGAGGTCGACGACATGTCCCGAAGGCGAAGACGGCACGTTTGGATGATGCGTCAGCAAGTGTGCCTCCTCGTCGAGCGCAAGGTTGGGCGGCATCAGCGGAAGGGGACTACGACAACGACTCCACGAGGGAGGAAGAGCAGGCAGAGGTGACCGCGTCTGCAGTACAGGAGAGCGCTCGGCAACGCTCTCCTGATCAAACCGCTTCGAAAAGGATGCTCACCCCTCCGCCCGAGGCGCAGCAACTGCGTGCCCGCGACACGCGGACAGAGAAGGTTGTCGTCGTCGATCTGGGCGGTGATGATGATGAGCCCTTGGAGAAACGTCGCCTGCGCACTCTTGCACAAGGCACCGCAGCGCAGGCGACGACGGCACACGTTGCGGTAGACGAAAGGCGACTTGCGGGTAGATAACCCGCCACGTCGTCTCAGCCATGTCAGCGCAACCCGGGTGATGACGGAGAGTCCGTCCAGCGCGGCGACGGGGGGGAAGTCGTGGCAGACGCGCGTGCAGTTAGGGGCAAGCCGGCAGGTGCTGCGGGTGCGGGTGCTTCAGGCGTTGTGGCCCCCGTTGGAACAGCGAGAGAGGAGGCAGCAGTTGTGGCGATGGCGAGAGAGGAGGCGCGTGGCGAGAACAAAATTGATCGGGACGGCGGCAAGCCTGGTTCAAGTTGGGTACGTAGGGGAGTGATGACGAAAGACCTCATCGATCATGCCGTGCTTTGGGTTGATGACAAAGCTGTCTAGACGACGGGGGAGGGGCGAAGACTATACAACATCGTCCACGAAATGAGAGAGTACTTTGTCGCCATCGCTAGCGGCCTTCCAGTGCCTGTCGTCCTTCGGAGCGTCGTCCTGCCCAAATCCAGCACGAAGGAAGCCAGGATCACCGACCCATCACAGTTGCAGCAAGCAATCTCCCGTGCGGCGGCAGTGGAGAACATTGCTCTGTGCATCTTGCACGGCTGCGTATTCAAGTCCGGGAACCGCCCAAGGGGATACAATCTGGCTTTCCAGTACTCGCTCGAGTCCGTAGCGACGGCCATTGCGTGTGCGATGTGGTATGGCGAGGAGTGGTGCAACGTCGTCAGTGGGGTGGTATGCGCGCATACGATAAATCTGTCCATGGACTTGCCACCATGGTTCGCCGACACCAACATCGAGGACAAACCTGAGGACAACGACATGGCGGCGTACCAGGAGTCCACCATCATCTGCATCGTGCATGCATTCCGCGCGGCGGTGCAAATGGGTGCGCACATCGACGACGACTTCATCTCGTACGACCGTCTCTGTCGGGTGGTTGACTGCTTCAGGCTTTTGTTTGCGGCATGCATGTGGATAATGCGTATGGCGGGGGACGATCCGTGCAGCCACTACGAAGCTTTCTACTTCGCGAACCTGGTGGCGAAGCCCACACTCGTCGCGTCCATGCATCGGTCCTTCGATCATCGACGATCCGTCATCCGCGCCGCAAAAATCATCACGGAGAGGCTCGGGAAGGCGAACGCTACATTTGGAGAGTACCCCGACTACATCCCTGGATGGGCACCCTGCGGCATTGGTTTCCGGCGTAACATGAGCATAACGGGGCTGGAGGATGCGAAGAAGCTAGATTGGTTGGGTTCGGGGGCCCCCGCTGATGACAACAACGACGATGGAAAAGATGACGCGTAGGGGGTGGGGGGAGTGGGGGCGGCGCTTGTGTGAACGAGGGTGCATGTACACGTGGCTGGTTGTGATGGGCTTCAATGTGGTTGAAACGTTATGCAGTGCGCACTTGTTTAGTGTGTCGGTCGGAGGGATTGCCCATAATCGTCGTCGGTTGTGCAAATGTTTAGTGTGTCGGCCGCGGCATAACGACAGGTTCATTGATTTCAATAGTGTATTTTGCGTGCAGGTCAGGGTTGTTTTGTGTGTCTGTCGTTGGAGTCGACGACGGGTTGATTGATTTGATTCATGTATTGTGTTTTTATCATCGCAGTTCGCTGCGCAAGAACTTCAGAGCGCTTTTAGCGCACCCTTTTGTTTATGTCATGTGTCCACTGTTCTCGTCTCTTTGCTGGAATGATTCAAAGATGATTGCCTCCTATGCATGCACACAATCCATGTTTACCTTTCTCTTTTTTGTATTTTTCTACGTTAACTTACATTATGCAGGTTTTATCAATGATTTCAACAGCCATGTTTGACGTCGCACCACACCACCACACGAAACCATTCGTGACAAACGAATTGGAGAGACACACATTTTTTTTTTTAAATTTTTTTTTAAGAGATTCCAAAAAAAAAAAAAAAAAAAAAAAAAATTCCCACAAAAAAAAAAAAAAAAAAAAAAAAAAAAAAAAAAAAAAAAAAAAAAAAAAAAAAAAAAAAAAAAAAAAAAAAAAAAAATCCTCCACACGAAACCATTCATGGCAAAACGATTTGAAGACAACACACAAAAGAAAGAAAGAAAGAAAAAGAAAAAAAAAAACATGAGAGATACAAAAAAAAAAAGGTTCTTCCATTATTGAACGTTCGCACAACTGTACGAACCATGCAACCGTCCAAACGATGAAAACAACAGAGGAACTCATCGACGAAAACCATGCCGCCATTCAATCGTGGATGCAACTTCGCGCACT